CCCTACTACTCCTTGAATATTAAATGAAAAGCGCGAGAGAAAAATGAAAACGCGAGAAAAATACGAGTATATGTGACAAGTGCAAGGTAAAAGTATACGCATATGTATGTATGAGTATGTATGTGTGTGGGTGTATATGCGTCTGAGTATATAAGTGCATGTCTGTAGCTATATACATATGTGTAGGTGCGACCTGGTAGCAACGACCTTTGCACATACAAAGACACATATGAATACTCTCCTATTTATTTATGTAATATTTTATGAACATTATGCAAGTGCTTCTAAATATATATAAAATATACAAATATACGTATATATTACATGGGTTACATGGAAAATGGTAGGCCATCGAAAAATGATATCATCTTTAAAATAAAGCACTATGAAGACTTTTTCTCAATTTCAATTGCTCAGAGCTATTTTTGAAAATTGAATTTGTATAAACACTGATCTTTTTATTATCGGATATTATATAGAATTTTGCAGTTTGGACTTTAACATGGAATGCTCTATGATTGGGCCTTAGATGTTCTATCGCATGCTTTAGTATTGGATAAATTTACTTTAACTGATTTTAGATCCTACGAAATCTCACAATTCACTAAAAACCTCTCCATATTCGACTTTCTGACTTAAGCTTCTGACTTATTTATACTCTTTCGAATTTTGAGAGTGTTATGAAACTTTGGTATCGTATGATACAGTATATCATTATCATATCTATGGGGTATCTATGGGTACTATATTTTCTTCGCATATTTTATAATTGTTGTGACCGGTTTGTGCTGTTTGTCTAAATTGCAAGGCCCGTCCATTAACGAGTTGATTACGATTTCCATTTTCCATTCCACGCACCAAAACACCATCCCATCCCATCCCATCCCATCCCTGAAACCCAGGGCGAGCTGGAAAACCAGTTTATTCCAATCCGATCCAATCCAATACTTCAATTGCAATCTCTTTTACCCCGACCGAAGGATCTCAGGGCCAACAGTTTTTGGTTAAGCATTTCGCGGGGCATGCAACAGTTAAAAAGCTTTATATAAGTATGCAGAAAAGAAGGAAAAAACAAAATAAAGGGAACCCAGCGCTGGATGGGCATGGTGGGCGTGATGGGGGCATGTGTCTGGGGCAGGTGCAAAATGCAGTGGCAAGTGTAAATGAGGCAAATTTCAAAGTCAAGTTTACACGCAGCAAATGCCTTTGTGCATCAACGCGCTCTGCCGCCACCTCGGGGCCGTGGGCCTCGTCCTTCGGCTGCTGGTTCTGCCGCTTCTCCCCCTTCACCTTCTCCATCTCCTTCTGCCCCTAGTCCTGGCTCACGTTTTGGTCCAGGGCCAGAGCTTCTGTCTCGCTGGCTGAACACCTTTCTCAGTGTGCTCCTTCTCTCTTGCTTTCTCTCTTTCACTCTTTCTCTCTGTTGCATGCACCAGTCGTGACTGCATAAGAAATGCTCGCCTTTCACTACACCAAACGCCATTTTTCTAGGTTCTAGAACAGTCAACATGGGGGCAATATTGTATTGGATTGGGTTCTATAGATGCTAGTCTTTCCATCAGTAAAGTTAAGGTCTAACGATTCACTTTAATTGTTCTTACTTAAAAATAAAAAAATGGATTTTCTGCATTCAATGGGCATATGTATATTTAGAGCTCATAAAAGAGCATATGCTTTATACCACATTTAACATGTCCTTTTACGAGTATCCACTTTTTATATATTTAATTTTTAGGTATATGCCATTCTAGCTTCCTACGAGTATATGTATGTATGTCCAGCACTGTACAGCCGCCTGGAAATTCGATGCACTCTACTTTTTTTCGACAGCGACTTCTCTCGTGCCTTTCAGTGCACACCACCGCCCCGTCTCCAGTGAGGCCCCATCTACGAGTTTATTTGCACATATACATATAGGCAGAAGAAGAGGGCGAAAAAAATGAGCATTTATAAAAAAGCAGGGACAAATTCAGTCTCCGGCAAGTCAATGCCTAAACACCCTTTCTATTTAAGCACTTTTGAATATTTTTAAGCCAAAAACTTCCTATTTAAATGGACTTCTCTACAGATATGGCACTACTATATTACTAGCTAGCTATTTTTTAGCTTTGTTTTAAGCCCTAGGCTTTCCGAATGGAATAGTTCTTAAACTTGAACTGTCGCGATCAAAAATATCATATGCGTCTATTCCATTGAAGCACCGTTCTGAGTTATGAAGTTTATTCGCTGTACAAATTGCCAATAAGCGAATGGATGCATGTGAATGACAGGAACGAAGACCATTCGTCTTGAGTCATAGACCTTCCAATACCAAAAAGATATCGATGTGTCCAAAAAGCCATTGTGTTCAATTTCAGGTTTTGGGTGGCATATTCTTAGGATTACAGAATGGAAATCATCTCATTCAAACGCGTGGAAGTGCCTAATGGACATCCTACATTCAGCAAGATCATCCCGATCTTAAACTCATGTTTCTAATTCAATTCAGAAGTCCTCTCTCTCGTAATACCCGTTCAAAGGGTATCCTTACAAGTGCAAAAATAAAAATGAAAGAATTGTTCTAAATCTGATGCAAAGAAGGAAAAGTGAAAGTGTAAAGAGCAGAAAGCAAAGAAGAGGGAAAACAAAGAGTGAAAGATGGGGAGGTGGAGAGGTTTTGGCGGGGAGACTTCTCGGGGCTTGGGAATTGGATTATGAGTTTGACAAGCGGCAAGGAGCAGGACACAAGAAAGGACATAGAATAAATGATGGGAAGGTTCTGAGAAAATGGTGGGGGGGGGGGGGGGGGGGGGGGCAAGCACTGCATACATAAATACTCGTTTGTACATATGTATTGTATTATATTTACATGCATGCATACATACCTGTATGTACTTTTACATCTCCCACATATGCATGTGTGCATCTACATATGTATGTGTGTATGTATGTAACCCCCCCCCCCCCCTCACTTTTTTGCCAGTGATGTGGCAAGTGATGTAAAAGCACCAAAACTTTTATTTGCCTTTCGTAATTAGTTGGGAGTCGTGTCCTACGAACGGGTGAAAAAGGGATACGTACATATGTAGATATATACGTGTAAATGCTGCCACACACTCACACATTCATTGTAGCGTTCGTCTGCGCGTGTGCGTGCGTATATGTATAACACACACACACAGTCTCACGCATGGAGTCCTGCGGGTCCTGCAAAATACATAAACGGCCACACGTCGCACACATGCTGCTCTCTTTCGCTCCCTCTTTCTAGCTATCCTTCTCTCTCTTTCGCTGGTATATCCTTTTCTGGTGCACACACATACGTGAGTAACCGTTATCCACATGTGTACGTTCTTGTGTGTGTGCCACGTATCACACATGCATATAAACGCGCGTATGAATATGTGTGTATAGGGGTGAAACGACATCCGTGAGAGGATAAACTCAGGACATCATAATGGGCGTGGCCTAAACTCCCACTTAGTGCAAAAGAGAGAGGGAGAGAGAGAGTTGACTGCATTTCAAAAAAAGGAACAACAAAAGGCTCTGGGAATGCGTTTGTGATGCTTGTTAATGCCTTCACCTACAATGCGCGCTGCTGTTACCAGAACTATAAATAACTCCACTGGTCGCTACTCTGTTTTTTGTTCAGGGGCATTATGTAAGGGATCTACATATATAGAAATCAAATATTACCTGAAATAAATTTCAAAAAAAGCTCTCACATGCAAAACACGCGCCAACAATAAAAGCTTTTACCCTTGAAAAGAATTGAAAAAGCTTCACCAGGTTCCCTCAAAAGTCGCCAGGTGGGGTCTGGTATCGAACAAAATCTTAACTATCGAAATCACCGCTGCTGCACCTGATCAGTGCTGCCATTTTGGCTTCTTTTAACCACTATCTAGCATTTTTTAGTACATCCTGCAAATTCTAGCTATCGTGACCTCTGGGGCTGAGATTACTCCACGCTGAGTTTTTTTAAATGATTTTATTTTAATTTAATTTATTTGCTATTAAAAATCATTTTTACTTCAACTATATTCAAATTCTCTTCATATTTACATTGGCTTGCTTCTTATTTATCTAAGAGTTTACAAGTCAGTTAGAGTTACAGTTCTCTGATGTACACTTTGGAATACTACATTACATTAATAAATGTTAAAGGTGCGTGATAAACAAACTATTAGAGCCCATTGCATAATTCGCGATTTGAATTCTCTCCCTCTCGTGTTCTAGTGCCTTCGAGTATGAGCCCTCGAGTTGAATGAGTATTCAGTGAAATTAATTAATATATTGAATGCCATCTTACGCACGAGGTTTGTTAGGCAAGTAACTGGACATGGAAAGTGTTTAATATATAAATAAAAACACCAAAGGAACATATTTGATATATATTTGTTACATTTTTAGCTTATTAGCCACTTTTAGCAGTACGGGCTGCAGCTGATTTCGCATAGCCGATGTGGAGAACAGGGTGATCATTCACGGTATTTTATATACTTTTTGGTATATTTTGACGTCGAAATTGAATTGCAGCACTAATCATACAGTATGGTTCTGATCAATACGTATACAATACGTATCAATTTCTCTTTGGCGCGTTGAACTGTTTAAATAGACGGCTGACAAGGGGGCTTAAGGATAAGTTTGGCTTCATCATCCGTATACGTTAAAAATGAGACGGTATATTTCTGAGGATCAGACGCTCATGATGCGACGAAAAAATGAGTCGTTATTTTAAATGGCCTTTAGAAAGGGGTATGACAACAGACCAAAACAAGGCAAGGAGAATTGCAAGGTTCGTACATACCTCACCTCGCGTGTGAGGACAATATACCTTGTCTCCAAGGGATGTATTTCACCTTGCATGCGGTTGCATTTTCCCGGCCCTTTCACCTCTTCACCATACCCTCTTTTTCCTTCCATTATGTAGCAAACGTGTAGCAACCGCGTAGTAACCGTGTAGAGTTTATTATTGACTATAGTTTTTTTTGTTTTTTGTTTTGCTTTTTAAATAAATTAAAATAAATTAAAGTCTGCCCACACCGTAGCCCACGGAGTGTTTTGTATGCCAAATATATGAGCATATATATAAACAAACAACGAAAAAGAAAAACGCAAAAATTCCAATTCATGAAAATACAATTGATCTGCTATCAATTAATACCTGCGGAATTTATAAGGAAACACCAGAATAAAGTTGATAGTGGAGTGCACAAAATCATATAAGGAGGAAGCCATATGCAACGGATGACATTTTCTGCTCTAAAAAGATAATCTGCATACGGAATTGTGTGGTGTTGTACCGTGTGGCTGGCAGGAGGAGGAGAAGGCAGAAACTAGTTTTGGATAACGGCAGCGGGGGGTGGGGGCAACGGCAACGACAGCGACAACGGCCCCAGAGGTGGCAGACATCAGCAGAACCAGAGCGCGGCAGCGGCTGGGGCAACGATAACAAGAACGACGCGAAAGGTAGTTAACGACTTGACAAGGGGAGCCGCCGCCGCAACAACAACGAGCAACAACAAACAAGAACAAGAACAAGAATAACAAAAACAACGTTTCGTGGCAGCCGAAAAGAGAAGGAAGAGAGGGAGAGAGAGAGACGGCTGCAATGGTCAGGAGCTGAGAAACAAGAAACCGAGAACCGTGAGAGAGGAACAGGTTCTCTGCATCAGCATAAGCAACAGAAGCAGCAGCAGCAGAATTAGGATCTGCATAAAGGGAAACCAGAGATAACATCGATTTGCAGAGGGACAGACAGAAACACGATGCCACTGCTCCTCCAACTTTTGATGATGCTCCTCCTGCTATTCCCGATTCCAAATGCCAGGGCCGTACTCTTCGCCAGCAACAGCTCCACCTCCAGTGACAGTGCCAGTTCCAGCTCCCCGCCAGAGATGCCACCCCCCACATTCCGGCAGTGTGAAACCATACGGATTGAGATGTGCCGTGGGATCGGCTACAACGAAACCTCCATGCCCAATCTTGTGGGTCACGAGCTGCAGACGGATGTGGAGTACACGCTGCAAACGTTCGCACCGCTGATCGAGTACGACTGCAGCTCCCAGCTGAAGCTATTCCTGTGCGCCGCCTACGTGCCTATGTGCACGCCCAAGGCGCCGGTGCACGCGATCGGCCCATGCCAGAGTCTGTGCGAGTCGGTGAGGATTCGCTGCCATCCCGTGCTGCAGGGATTCGGCTTCCCCTGGCCGAAGGCCCTCGACTGTGATCGTTTTCCCAGGGAGAACAACCACGAGACCATGTGCATGGAGGGGCCGGGCGAGATGCATTTGCCCATGCAGGAGCATGAGCTCTACGGACCGGTGGTTGGCGGTGGTAGCATCGGCGCTGGCGGAGTGGGAATGGGAGGCGGCAAACTGCCACTGGACTGTTCGGGATTGGGCAAATCCCATCTGTATGTGAAGCTGCCGCGTTCCGGTCGCTGTGCGCCGCTCTGCGAGGCGGATATCCTGTTCACACCCAGCGAGAAGCATATCTCCGAGATCTGGGTCTCCACCTGGGCCTATGCAGCTCTCGGCCTGGCATTTGTGGCCACCCTGTGCCTTCTGGTCGGCGACGACAGCAAGCTGGCCAGCGCCAAGTGGTCGCGCCTGCTGACACCTTCGATCTGGTGCCACAACATGGTCACCATCGGCTGGACCGTACGTTTTATCGTTGGTCGCACGGGCACCGCCTGCGGCACTGATCCCCAGGCGCCCAACGAGTCCCTCCTCAGCGTCGATGGCCTGTCCAATGCGGCCTGTGCGAGTGTCTTCCTGCTGCGCTACTACTTCGGGATGGCTGCCTGTGCCTGGTAAGGATTTCTCCCGTAATTTCCGACTAATCCCCGATTCAATCCCCTGTGATCTCCGCTTGCAGGTGGGCCATCCTCTGTCTGGGCTGGCATCGAGATATACGTCGCCACAGTCCCGATTCCAAGGGGCACGTGGCCATACCGTCCACCTACGGCGGCAGTCCCGTCAGCCAGGCGGCTCAAAGAATGGCTGCCAAGGCGAGTGCCCATCAGAATCTTGCCCAGAATAATTTTGTTTGCTTCGTGGCCTGGGGTCTGCCGGCCTTCCAAACGGCCGCCGTCATAGTGTTCCGTTATGTAGATGCCGACGAATTGCTGGGTAAGATTGAGATGCAGGCGAGACAAACGAAGATTGAATCTAATGAGTAATGCCTGGATTCCATTCCTTTGCAGGCGCCTGCTTTGTGGGCAACCAGTCGGACAGGGCCCTGCAGGTGCTGGTGGCGACGCCCGTCTTTATCTACTGGATCTTTGGCTCAATGAATCTGATATCCGGCTACCTGGTGCACTGCCGCAACAAGGAGATCCTGCGCAACACCAACGCCCTGAGTCTCCAGCAGCAGCTGCAGCAGTTGAGTGCCCACAGCAGTTCGGGTATCGGGATCTTCCTGTTCATCTACGGGCTGGCCAGTGCCCTGCTGCTGCTGGCGGTCATCTATGAGTTTGCCAACATCGACATTTGGCTGAGTTCGGGGGAGACGAGCACACCGCTGTGGCCCTTCCTGGTGCGCGCCTTCATGGAGCTGATGCTGGGTATTTGCTGCTTTGCCTGGGTCCTCGGTCCCAGCATATCCACCATGTACAAGCGCCAGATGTCAATGCGTCCGCAGAAGCAGTCGGCCGCTGCGGCGGCTGCAGCCCAACACCAGCAGCAGCTTCAGATGCACCATTTGGATGGGCAGAGCAGCTCCCGGGGATCGCATGCCGCCTGCAGCAGCACCGTCGTCTCCTATCATTCGGTGCGACCCTCGCACCAGTCGATGGCCAGTGCCCCGCTGCCCAGTCCCTACAAGCACAAGTCTCCCCCAGCAGGAGCTGGCTCCATTTCGCTCAATCAAATATCAAACTACTCCCTAAGCCGCAGCAGCAGTTCGCACCATCATCACCACCACCATCAGCCGCAGCAGCACCATCATCGTCACAGTCCCCAGCAACTGCAGCCACACCATCATCATCATCATCATCACCAGCAGCAGCAGCAGCAGCACTCTTCCTCCTCCCATCGTCTGTATTATCCAGCGGGTAGCCAGAAGTACAGACAACACAGCAACTACTATCCCCAAATGCATCGCTATGGGGATGAGACGCTGCTCTGAGATTCCTCATCTAGAAAGGGTTTCAACTAAATTATGATTTGGATATATCAATGATTATATCAATGCCCCACCCATTTAATGGATCCCACTGATTCTGCCTCGTGGATCATTCGTTGAGTGCTAGTCAAAATCAATGCGTTTCGCCTTATCGCAATCCCTATTTGTTGTATGTACTGTGTATATGTCCGTTAATTACGATCCTTTATTCCTGTTCCTATTCCCTCCCTTGGCGTTGTACTTAATTCTTAACCATTCTTGCCGTTCTTTTGTTTTGTTTTTTATCGTGGAGAAACAACGCAGCAACCAAATACTGTGATACGCATGTTCATGTCCTCAAAAGCAGAGGCCCCGAGACTTTGCTGTGTCCTACTCCTCCCTCCCTCCCTCTCCCTCTCTCGCTCGAGCCACGCTACAAATCGAACCGAACACCGAACGAACCGAAAGTGTACTTAATGGAAACGCAATCGTATTAATGTGTAATGCTAGCATTAATTCCTAAACTGTATTCAGTGTGCCATTAGCTTTAAGGGGAATACAATACAAATATACATATATATTCGATATATTCGTATACTAACGATGGTTTTTTTTTCGTAGTAATTATAATTCTTTTATTATATGTAACTTATTTGCTAGCGAATAAAGTGTGTCGAAAAGTTGAATATCATCGCGTTTTGGTTTTACCATTTTGTAAAAAGGAGTATCAAAATCTCTCTCTCTCTCTATTTCTCTGAACCCTTTTCCACCTGAGAAGCGAGCGAGCGAGCGAACACCTACTATTGCCGGCCCTGCTGCTGGGGTTGGGGGACATCTGGCGGCGGCGCCCCCTCGCTGCGTGCTGGGGCACACAGCACGATGGTCTCGTTGCGATTCATGTTGTTGTGATTGTTGTTCTGCGAGCGCTGGGGCTGCCAATTGTTGTCAAGGTCCTCGTCGAGTTGTATTTTGGCCCTTTGGTAGTTCTCCATTTCGGTGGCATACTTGGCGCTGGTGATGCCTAGCAAGGAGGCCAGGCCACCGCCCACATAGTCGATGCCGGCTAAGAATTTATTTCCCACGCGGCTGGCCTTGTAGCGTAGGCGCGGCCCCAACGCCATTTCGCGCTGCAAAGGCAACAAAACACATGAGAAATGAGTCACGTTAGTCGGAGGGAGGGTGGCAACATATAGAGGATTAGAGCAATAGAATGACGCACCTCGTCCAACTGGACATTGTAGCACTTATCGGGGACGTCCGCCTCTGTCTCGCTATCGCTGGATGAGAGCTCCTCCATGACTCCGTCACTGAAGTGCAGCATGCGTCGATTCGATTGCAGTTCAAGGGCGGAGACATTATCGGTCTCGCTGATGCCGCCGCCGCTTCCGGCGCTGAAGCCATTTGCTGAAGCCACCGACATGCTAATAGTTAATCCTTATTCTAGTCCCAAAGTCACTTAAAACAGTTGATGATGATAGTGATGAATACTTAGTGCTTTGAATGTCGCGCACGGAGTGAGTTTTTGTGTGTGATGTCCGTTTGGATTTGAACACGGGGCGACAGCCGCTGTTTTTGGTCATGAAAACACGTTAAAGTCGCTTCACCAAATACAGCGAGGGGGGAAATGATGTCCTTGGGTTCGGGGCCGGCGACTCACAATCGCCTTGCATCGCGTGCCATGGAACATTCTCAGTGGTTTGCAAATCAATAAAATAAATGCCGCTCTCTACTGCTGCTGCTTCTGCTTCTTCTTCTTCCCTGCTGGTAGCTGGCCTCCCCCCACCCCTTACACACAAACAAATCAACAGTAAGGCAGTATGACCAGGGGCTGTGAAGCGTTAAAATACCGCTTGACCAGCGCGTACAATAAACATAGTATTAGCTAGAAATCTCCCACAAATACAATGAATAACAACAATTTCGTATACAACTCGTGGGCCAAAAAATAAGCATGCAACCAGTATCCAAACTTTCTATATTTCGCAATTAGTTAATTTGATTTTCTGATAGCAGCGGACCCATCCATTTTGTTTTTCATACTGCGTCGAGGTAATGTTGCGCCCTGGTCACACCAAGCAGCTGATTTCTGTCTTCTTCTTCACCCCCCATTTTAGTCTACAAAAAAAAAAAACAATTGCTTCCGTTGTGGGGCAGCAAAGTTGCGTCCAATTATGGAGTCGCCTACATTTTATCAAGTAGCCAAGGGTAACGTATTCAAACCGAATCCCATCCAGTGCCGTCATTGAAGGTCTGCCTCATTAGATTTTCAGGTCACAGGCATTTCAAGGAGTGGACGCGTACGCAAAAAGTCGTCGAAACTGTTAGACTTCGAATCACCGGAGGAGGTTGAGAAGAAGGCAAGACGCGGCCAAGGAAGACCGCCAACCCGGTATCCAGGTCGAGGGCGCCCACCTAACGCCCTGAGGGAACGCGAGGCAGAACTGGAGCGGGCACTCGATAGCGAAATGCTCTTTGATGATCACAATCTATCCGAGACAGAATTACACATACCCGCCCCGACAATGGGCATCGTGCTGATGAACTCCGACGACGAGCTGGACAACCTGGTGCAGGATCTGGTCGACAGCGTCGAAGCTGAGGCCAGCAATAACGATTCCACCATGCGTCAGAGTCTCTACATGCGCGAAAAGACCAACAACCGCAAGATACTCAAGGCTGGCAAAGTGGTCACCGGGAAGCCGTATCGCAAGGACAAGGGAAAGACGCGTTACACAGCCTACAGCCTGTGGGCGCGAGAGATTCGCAAGCGGGACTTCCAGGATCTGGGTAAGTGCTCAAACCCTTATTGGGGGGCATTGAAGTAAATAAATCCTCCGAATCAAACTTTTGTATGTGTCCCTTAGACTTTTCCAATGCCGCCAGACGCCTCAGCGAGCTGTGGGCGAATGTTTCAAATAGGGAGAAAATTGCCTGGCGACGGAAGGCAAAGGTCCAGTCCACAAAGGCCCGGGCACGCGAGAAGAACGGTCTTCCGCCCCTGCCCACAGCCAACAATGGGAGCACTGTCGCCCCAGAGGCACCAGTTCCCGAGGGGAACTTCGTAAACCGTGCAACGACAAGCCGCACCAGGAAACTGGCCGCCGATCGACTGGAGTCAGCGACTACAGCGCCATCAACTCCGACATCGACAGCGACTAGTGGACCGAGGCGCAACACCACCCGCAGCTGCAGAGGCCGTCTGCCATCGGCTACCATAAGATCTTCCGCAGGGAAAAAGCCCACGGCATTGCTGCACTCGCCGTCGGACACAGAGCTGTCGCCGGGAACGGGCACGGGGAGCCAGCGCGAGTATCAGCTGCCGTCGGAGAAATCTAATATCGGAGCCATCGACGCGGCGGCCCACTTAAAGCTGCTCGGCGAGAGCCTCACGGTGATCGGGGAGCGTCTCAAGAAGCACAACGGCCACGTGGCTCTCTCGGGCAGCCTCTCCGTGCTGCTGGACAGCCTGCTCTGCTCCATGGGACCGCTTCTCTGCATGACCACGCAGATACCGGGCCTGGAGAACAAGCCTCAGCTGCGTAACAATCTGGCCAACACGCTGGACAACATTGCATACGTGATGCCAGGACTCTGAATGCAACACAAAAGCACACACACACAATACACACAGTACACTTCCAGCCAACCAATCTTCCACATGGCCAACAGAGCGTCAAGAATGGAAGCGGGGAGATCTGTATCATCATGGACTGAGCTTCGAGGGAGTGGCAAACGGCAAAGTGTATACATATTTATGTAAATTAAGTATTAGGTGATTATTTTAGGCTACAACGATTAATGTGGAATATGTCATGGAATTCTCTCCTCCTTCGCTTCTCTTCTCCTCCTAATGCCCCTTGCTACGCGAAGGGAATATTCCAGATTAAATCCAATCCCAACAAAAAATGTAGTGGAAAACCTTCCCAAACATTTGATACTCGATAGAACATCTCATAGAACAGAGAAAGTGTATCGAAGTTATATTTGATTGCTTCTTCAGATTCGGTGTGCTAAGCAGATTGGACTGCGATCCTTGATAACCTCAATAAATCAATTTGTCCTAATTTGAGGAACGAATGGCTTAATATTTAATGATCTAATACAGCGGGCACCCTTTTTTCTAGCTGGTATCGGCCTTCGGAAGAAGAATATAGACAGATGTACCTATATTTATTGCATAAAAAACGAGTTGAGTCGAATTTGAAAATATAAAATATAATTTCAAAGTATATATGAAACAATAGAGTGCAACATAATTTTCATCTACTTTCATCTCATACAGAGTCATACATATACTCATAACCTGGGGATATTCTTCCCATAGCAACCTCTGTGGATGTCAACACTTTGGGATCAGCAGACGACCGACCACATGCTCTTATTTTGCCTCGTTATTACACACACCCAGAATTAGTATTCCAGGATTTACTGCGCAGGTTTATATAGAATAGGCTTGGATATGAAAGACTTCAATACAATAGTAAGGGAAAGGAATTGCTCCACCTAGGAGATATGTATATTGATAGATGGGATGTCATAAAAGAGAATATTTTAGGATAATATGGAAAACTTTTAATAGTTTTTTTATGAAAACACAATGAAATATATTAGCAAATAATATATATTCTGTAGACACAAAACAGCATCATTATTTGGAGTGTGCAATGTGTCAGCCCATGCCTTTAACCTGCAGGCCCATAAACTTATTGTCCAGCCATATAGCCGACACCTCCCAACTCCTGAAACAAATCCCCCAATCCAATCAAACAGACCACTCTCTTCCACTAATCCTTCACCCCAAAAAACCTAAATAGCCTTAATAGAAGACATACGACGCATAATATACACTTTCCCTACTCCCTCGCCCCTCAAAGATCGTCAACATTTAATATTTTACATTTAATAGAATCAAAAATAATAATTCTATAATAAACGTTTTGATCAAAAAATAATAATTATTCAATAAAAATCACGAATAATAATTATACAATAAAAATCAAAAATAATAGTTATAATAATAATTCGCTCAAAAATCGTACTTACGTGTATCATTTATTCCAATCAATTTTATTTAAATCCTTTCGTTCATTCACTTTCAAAAAATTTCCATTTGGCGCGCCACTCGTATCCAGTCGATAACCGAGCTTGAATCGGTTCTCTTTGAACCGGCTGACAACAATGAGCCCCGTTCCATACACAATATTGAGGGCAACACTTATTTTCATACCCTAGGGAAAAGGATATTATAGAATTGCGGAAATGTTTGTCATTCCAGGCTCTAATTAATGCAGAAACTAGTCAGTCTCTGATATTTTAAAGGTTATTGTCTTCTTAGAGAGACCAAGAATATCTATCGGGATCGGAATATATGTATGTATTTACAAGGCACTGATCATATGCATGAATATGTCTAAAGCATATCAATTTAAGAAAAGGTCTTTATTAACTACGTTTTATCTTCATATTACATTAACGAAATAGGGTATACAAAGGCATATACTACGGCTAACTAGCAGTTTTTTGTTGAACTATTTTGTTTAAACCTTGTTTTGTCAAAATATAATAAAAGCAAGTATTTAGAAAATTGATTCAATAATCGTTTAAAACTATATGGGCATGGCTAAATATTCTATCTAGCCAGTAATATTAAAACGGAATATCAAAATTGAACAATATGAACGACCATCCTCTTTCGCTTTTACTTACCATTTTCGATATAACCTTTTTTACGCAAAATGCAATAAAAGCCAGTATTTAAAATAAGCACATCAATTAGAAAATAGGTTAATTAATTGGATAAAATTATGTGGGCATGGCTAAATGTTCTATCTAGCTAATAATATTCGACGGAATATCAAAATCGAGGAATATGTATAATAGAACTTCAATTCGTCAGTATATTTATGGTACATTTTTAAAATGAGATGGTATATTTTGGTATATTTCTGAGGGTCGGACGGTATAGTCCGCGGTCACACTGGCGTGAAAATTGATAAGATTGGCTCGAAATAATTTGATTGCTATCACATTAAGCAACCCCGAAGCCGTGGCCATCGAAACCACACCCAGAGCCTGCCGCGGACGAGTTCACAAAGATTCCCTGCTTCACGATGAGCCACCAGCCGGCGAGCAAAAGAAAGAAGTTCGTCGAACTGCCACTGTGCTGCGGCTGGAGGGACTGCCAGGAGATCTGCAATGGCGAATGGAACCTGAACACCCACATAGCCGAGCACCTACAGACTTATGCCGCCGAGCAGAACGATGATCATGCCTGCAAATGGAACGATTGCGTCTTCCGGACGAAATGTCCCGTGGAGTTCGAGCGTCACGCGTACTATCACGGCTACTACAGCCAACTGCTGCTCCAGGGCAAGCTCGAGTGCGACCAGCATCCAGAGATACCCACCTGCTGTGGCCCCGCCCGCATGGAGGACAAGCTGCCAGATCTCAAGCAGAACTTCCACTGCGGCTGGATGGACTGCAAGCGCGAGTTCATCTCGATTGTCGAGTTCCAGGACCACATCGTCAAGCATGCCCTCTTCGAGTACGACATCCAAAAGACGCCCGACGATGAGCGGCCCAAGACGCAGTGCAACTGGAATCTCTGCCATAAGCAGATGGACAACAAGTATCGCCTCATCGAGCACATCAGCACCCATTCGAACAAAAAGCTCGTGGCCTGTTTTCACTGCGGCGAGGTTTTTCGCACCAAGACTACGCTTTTCGATCACTTGCGTCGCCAGCCGGATAACAACAGTGAGTCCCACCCTCGATTCCACTTTTCTGTATGGCTGTACCGCTGTCATGTCATTGCTAATCCAATGCTTTCCTTCCAGCGAACAGTTTTCAGTGCGCCCAGTGCTTCAAGTTCTTCGCAACACAGAAGCTGCTCCGGAGCCATGTGCTGCGGCACATCAATGGCTTCAAGTGCACCATGTGCGACATGACGTGCAGCTCGGCCAGCGGCCTGACCACTCACATCCGGTACCGTCACCTGAAGGACAAGCCCCTGAAGTGTAACGAGTGCGAGAAGCGATGCGTGCGGGAGTCGGATCTGGTCAAGCATGTGGAGATCGTACACAACAAGACGGTGCACCAGTGCGAGCACCCAGACTGCCAGTACTCGGTGCGGACATACGCACAGATGCGGAGGGTAAGCAAATGCACGCGTTTTTCGTGGCTTCCCCTCATTCTCACGATCTGTTTCGCTCTTCCATTTGCAGCACTTCCTGGAGGTGCATGGCAACAATCCCATTCTGTATGCCTGCCATTGCTGCGAACGGTTCTTCAAGAGCGGCAAATCGCTGTCAACGCACTTAATGCAGAAGCACGGCTTCCTTCTGCCATCAGGCCACAAGCGCTTCACATATCGCGTGGACGAGAACGGCTTCTATCGGCTGGAGACGACGCGCCTCGAGAGTATGGAGGTTACCGAACAGATCCTCTCACCGCAGTCGCATTTCGGCATCCATGAGGTGAAGCCGTCGACGGGCAGCTGCTACGAGATTGTGGACCCAACGAACACCGAGTTCGGTCGCATCATTGTTTCCAACGATCCGGACGAAGCCCAACTAGTGGGCGAGGTGATCATATCGCTCCCGACCCTCACTGACGAGCTTTGAGGCCCCAAACACACCACAAAACAATTTGAAAAACTCATCATGCTATGCAAGGGCTGTTCTCATCTCCATTGTCATACCCATAGATTACTAAGGATGCTATTTCTACTCATGCCACTCCCTGCACGTTTTTAGTCCTAAGTTCAATGTCAAGTGTCCCCTCCAAGTGTTCAGAGAAATCCAATCTCTGATTTGTATTAACCGTCTTTCTGATCTCGTGCCCTGGCACAAAACCACAAACTCAAATCCATGTAGATCCAGGCCACAGATATTCCAGCAAAGGATGCATGTCCTTGATGGTCTCCCATTATGATATTTCCATTGCTGAAGCAGTCTGTGCGTCTGCATGCCTGTGCTTATTCTGATTAAGATTCCCAGCTTAACTCACATTTCAATCGACTCAACGTACATTTAACTTTTATTCTGAACCATTTCCGAGTGTCTTCAGTGGCGTTGCTTTACGTCTTTACGGATTAAGCTATGCATAAAAAACCAATAAAATTATATCAAGCCAAGGATAAAACAAGGCCAAATACAATCAAATACTGCGGGGTGTGTTTGTTTTCTTCTTTTGTTTAAGCAGAAAGTGTCGGGGAAATCGATTAGTGTTTTCCTGTTCAAAGAACGCATAAATGGCTTTATTTTGTCTGATGCACAACTTTTGAGACTTGCTGGAAAGACAGCGGTTGCTTCCGACTAGGGGGAATGAGCGGAATACCTAGAGAGCCTAGTACCACCAACAGCAGGCAGGTCTCTTTCGGATGAGGTTCTCTCATCGCACAACAGGCAGACTTTAGTCCCAACATTAAATTTGTTTTTTTTCTGGCAGCTTTTTCTACTTTTTTTTTTGGGTGAAAGTACCTTTGAGGTTATGTGAAATCACTTGAAAAAAATTAAACACATCGTTTTGTTTTACGGTTTTTGTATGGGTTTTTTTAATATTGGGAACCTCTTAGACGATTCCATCTTCAAATAGAATATTATAGGTTTGCTCATGTCACGAAAACAAAAAAAAACACATCGCGGGACGCGTTCCTTTGGAGTTTACTTGGCATGGGTCTGAGCCTTCCTAAGCTGGGTGAGGATGTTGGACAGCTCCTCACGCTTCCTCTTGGCACGGATGTGTGTGCCCAGACGGCGCTTCAAGAACTTCAGAGCGCGCTTGTCCTTGGACACCTTCAGCAACTCCATGGTGCGCTTCTCGTAGGGGGCATGGCCCACCACTTCGCGGACCAGGTCGCGCATGAACTTGGTGTGACGGGTTTGGATCTGTAACCGATGGACGGGGGGAAACGGAATATTAGTCAATGTAAACAAATGGCGGGCATAAACAATGAGTGGCAGTGCCGGGGAATACGTACGTTCTTCAAGCGAGATCCACGCAGACCCTTCACCTTCTTGTCTCCGGTGTACTTGACATTCTTGACTTTGGTGGTCTTGTGGCCTTTGTTCAA